AAATCTTATATACAATGGTGATAAAGCTATACATCAGATAAAATAATTTCTACGCAATCTTTTCTAAAGAGAACTGTTCCTATATGTAAATTTCTCTTGCACCTGTGAGAATATTGTCAATATACAATGATTGTTCCTCTTCACACAGCCTATATATAAACCCTAAGAATCCCTAAGAAGGTTTAATGTTAATGTTAAATTTTTCTCCACGTCGCTACTCAACGCTACTCAGTATAATCCAGACTTATTTCCTCTCTATTTACGAATCTTTACTTCAATACTTCTCCCGTTATTCTACGTTATTGGACCTTATTATACTACAATCGGAATTACTTCTAACCTGTTATTATTGTATTTGTTATTGAACAACAATAAAGGATAACTATTATATTCCTCGAACACATAACCAATCGGTATTCAGTAAGTCACTTTTTTATAAAGAAATAACTGCTTTATTACTAACAAAAAACAGTAATCCTCATCTTCTCACTCTCATAATAATTCTTTCACGACATTATTTCCTAAATGCCCCACTATTTTTGTAATTTCAGATATAAACTGATAGATTTTACCGTCTTGGAATTTTATACCAAACTCTCCCTTTTTTAATGTTGACATTTCCGTAACGGTGAAGAAAAAAGCAAAATGAAGAAGGTAAAGCATACGCGGAGAATATATGTTGTATGCGGCCTTCCCAGGAGCTGTTCATCTCCACAAAATTATAAAAGTACCACATTTCATCGTACCATAGTCCAGCACCATAAATGTCATGTTCCTCATTGGACATTTTAAGTGGTACAAAAGCTGAGAATAAACTCACGAATTTAGCCATTGCATAATCGTTCCACACATCAATGAACGAACGTATCTGAAATGTCGCACTATCTGTTCGTACTTAACTCTCTTCTCTTAAGTACTTTCAGAAGCAGACCTCATCCAAAATTTCTTTTGTCGCTGATAGTGGAAATAGTTCTTTAACAGCCAGAACTGCCGAACGAATGTTCGATTTTTCCAAATTTTTATTATTTCGTTTGTAAGCCACTTCTATGTACAAATCGTAGATTGGTCTCCATGGTAAAGTTAAATCACTGCGTTTGATTATTTCATCACTGAATTGATAATCAGTGTTGAGTACGAAAGAATGAGCCGGCTGTATCAACTAGTTGTAGAAAATGGATTGATTCCTCCCAAAGCTCAAACTCAATACTACGTAGACAGTTGTGGAATTCCGGTTTATTATCTAACGGATTTTAGAAATTTCTGCATCAGAATGACAAATAAGTGCATAAATTCAGAGAGAAGCTTTTCGACGATGCAAAAATTACTTAATCAGTGTTTTGATCAATGAGCAAGCTTTATGAATGAGTCTTCGGTCATAATCCGGCTCCAATATAACATCATAAATAAATTTAATCAGTTTTATGTGGTCGGCTTTGGAGAAACGATAATAGAAACGGTTTAAATATCTGAAATAGTTCAATTTCTCTTTTTCTCAGCAATTTATTAAATGTATAATAACTGTGATTAGATATATCAAATGGATGAACAAAGGAACAAACTGGCTAAGTTGGTTCATCCAAAAAGAAATCCCTGAATCAGCAGCATATGATAAGGTGGAAGCGGCCAGGCCTGTTTTTATCTGCTCCAACCAAAAAAAAGCATTCCGATTGATATTTTCATAGTACGGTAAATAGGAATATTCTCGCCGCGTACGTTGAAATTTTGGTTTATCACGCAAGTAACCTTCTGCACTTGTATATAAGTAACCGTTTTTTTCTGCCTACAAAAAAGATTACGTATTAATGTGAATTTCATTTGTGGAATAATTTGATACTTGTCTCGCAAACTGGTTCTCTTTTGATTTTTCAATTGACTTTGTACTATGTCTACCGATCATAACATCTATCTAGTCTACAAATTTTCTGTGTATGTATAAAAAATGCCGAAGTTTTG